TCTCCACGGGAGAATAACTACTCATGTTTCTTACAACTAATATGCTTTTTTTGCCACCTTAGTGTTCATCAATGCTATATTAGATAGCTTCCATCAGAGCCTGCACTTCAAGCATCCAAAACAGAAACTGAAGGAGAGTGAGCTTTGGATCAGACCTCCCAGTAATAATGCTTCTAAGTCTCTTCCTTCCTCTCCAGAAGCTTCAGGGAAATAAATAGCAAGGGGAGCTGCCTTGCCATTGCTGCTGCACATTAAGTCTATAGTAATTTCCCAGTGGAGAGCTCACTTAGACAGTAATGGGAAGTAATAGGGGGAAACCAAGCAGGACTTCCATAAAATCACTGGAAACAATCAGGATAATTCATTGGCATTTCAAGAAGGCAGTGAAAGCTTCTGCCTGAGCCAGTGAATCCCAAACCAGAGCAGTGAGCCAAGCAGAATAGCAGGGCCCAGAAAGCAATATGCCCTGTCCATATGAGGCATTTCTCTGCCATCTCATTTGACACAGCCCAGGCATCCCAGCCTTGGGATTGTCCCCACTTGCAGCAGGCTCTGTCATGAACTGAGAGCCAAGAGCTAACTGTGTGATGTTACTGCTGTAGTGAGCCCTGGTCCCTCCTGCTCACTTACACGTGTCTTTTCCATAGGGCTACGCTGTTATGCCAAATTCCACCGGAACCGAAGAGTGACCCGGAGGAAAGGGCGCTGCGTGGAGCCCGAGTCAGCCAACGGAGAGCAGGGATCATTCATTAATGTTTAGGAGGGTGGGATTCCTGCCTGGATGGTCAGGAGCTGGGGTCAAGCTGTTTATACCTAGCAATGGGAATTAGAGGAGAAAAGTCAAGCAAATGACTGAAGCTGCAGGCTTGGAACATGCCACGTTCCAACTAGACTGAAGCTAGTGTTCATTGTAAATTGAGTGGCCTCAGGCTTTTCTGTACCAGGACTGCATTCCACCTCCTTTCCCTCAGCACATTCCTGCCATTGAGCTGGGTCTCCTTCTCCTGGTTAGTAAGAGGTGATGATGACTACCATTCTATTAATGGTAGTAAGCTCCTCCTCTCAACAGAGGCAAGACATGACCCATCCTTCAGGTTAAATGGGATACAAGCTTAAACTTTACCCCTTAACTATTACTTGAGAAGAAAGGTAGAGCCTCCTTCAGGATCAGAGGTTCCTGAGGATAGGAAGCTTGTAGCATCCAGGTGGAATCAAAGGTAGGAAACAGGTCATCAGAAAGGTGAGAGGGGCCCCTCTGACAGCTCATGCTCTCTCCCTTGTTCACTGCCACAGACAGGTATTCCCTAGCTGTTACACACTACCTGTTTTCTTTGGGACCATCCAGTCCTTCTCCTTTCCTAGCTTCCAGAGAACCACCTGGTTTCTGCAAGGATGTGGCAGCACATCCCAGCCTGCAGCTCTCACTCATTTGATTACCCTGCCAAGTCTGTTATTTTTAAGAATTATTTTTAGGAGCTTTCTAGGGAAGTGATAGTTTTCCTAGTGAGCCAGAAATAAAGGCTTTTGGTAACAGGAGATAGGGACAGGCTGTTCCATTGTAGTAAATCCTGTGATATGTTGCATGTGTGTTCCCATGATATGTAAATAAAGATATGATAGATATCTTTTGTGCAACTCTTCTGCTTCTTTGACTGCACCTAAGGATGGGGCAGGAGTCAGAAAGGCCTAGGAGGGAGCTGGCCAGAAGGTAACAGTGATGACTTCAGCTCATAGAGACCCACTTGGTAGAAGTATTTCTCCACCCAAATTGGGGATCCAATCTTCTCTGTATTCTCACTCAAACTGCAGCCAACAGTCTTTTTCTACCTGGTGTAGCCATCCAGACATTTAGAACTCTTTATATTACTGCTTAATTATTGATTTCGGTGATATATTGAAGCAGCACAGGCTACCTGTGTTAAACAGGAGTAGTGTTAGTCAGTAAAGATGTTCTTTCCTACTGCTAATACCCTGGGAGCCTGGTTTCTGGTAAAAGACAGTTCTGAAGCCTTTTATATTCATGAATCTGGAGATGTACAGCACTTTTTGTAGGAATAGAAATATTAATCCTGGTGCTGTGGTCAGAATTATGAGGTTTCCCTGAACCGCCCTGTGTTCCCTTTAGGTAGGCAAATCTCCATTTTGCACTCCTGTTTCTGTTGTAGTGTCACTCCACATTGTGTACTCACTCAAACACTGCTTAGCATAATAGTTTATGCCTCTAACATGATGAGTGCCCAGTCTGACTACAGAGCTATGCTATGAATACAGTATTAGTTCTGACCCACATACACCTGCAGTGCTAGAAGGTACACTACAGGAGGAATTTGTAAAGGAGTGTTAAGGTAAAACCTACCACTGGGTTGGATGTAGCTATTTAGATTTCTGCTTACAGTTTTAGCCCAAAAGGCAGGAATAAAGGAAGGTAGTTTGGCTCCAGCTCTGTGCCACCATACAATTTGTTAACCCAGAGAGAGAAAAGCAGCCCCTCCCTCAGCTCAAATGCAGAATAGTGGGTGGTGCTGCCAGTGCTATTGTCAGTGGAAGCATAAAGGGAAAAAGGCTTTAATTGATCACAGTCAATTGCAGAGCTCTTAGTGGTGTGTGTGACACTGATGGGAACCACATGCACAGCATTATCAAAGCCAGGTTCTGATACCACACTGTTTTCCATACAGCAGCGAGATCTGGTTGGAACAGTGCAATTGAAAGAAAGCAGGAAATTTTGCAGGGGCCTTTATCCTTGATGATGCAGGTATTCATTGCCCTGCATACAAAATCTGTGTAGGATCCTAGGCAGTGTTTTGGGCAAGCCTGTGTTGCAAATGATGTGAAATAGAAGCAGGCTTAAACAGTAAATATAAATTTTAAGCCAGAGCTTTTAGACTCCAAAAGGAGACTTGCTTCTTCAGCTCTTCCTGTTTCACCTTTTATTCTGAATACAAAGAACATGTTCTTCTTAATTGGTGGGATTAGTTCAATGTGTATGGTCAGTGAAAATTGAGTTGTTCTTATAAATGAAGTCACACCATCACTGAATTGGTTGTTCGCATAGGAGCTGCAAAAAGAGAACCCAGGACCAAGACTCATTCTTTCTGAACGGAGCTGTGGTGTTGCAGAGGTGAAGCAGAAAGGGTGAGCAGTGGCACAGGCACAGCAGTGTGAATAGAATCAGCAACCTGATTTATATACCAGCAGATCAACTGCTGACTGCAATTGCAGTGCAATGGAAAGCTGGTTGAGTAAATAACATGCCAAGGTGTGGAATGAAAGACCAGCCTGTGATATGAAACCCCACTGCAACGTTTGTCCACGTCCAACCCGCTTCTGAGTGTAGCAAAGCTTTTTAGTGTCTCTCTGTGCTGTCTCAAGGCACCCTCAGAGTGTCAGGATCACTAGATTACATTTCACTTTCCCCTTCCTTCCCAGTATCTCCCAGTTACGGTGTAGTCAGTGACAGTTCTGCCTTTGTGGGCACAAGGTATGAACAAGAGAGAGGGACATGAACGTCAAGCAAGTCTTGAGTTACATGTTCTTCCCAACTGATTGTTTGAGAAATTCAAATTAAGAATTCACACAAGCTCATCTTCTCGACTGGCACCAGAGAGCTTAACCCAGAGCTCTCTCAAGAGTTTCCATTGTTCTGAGAGGACTTTGGACCAGGCCCAAACCACCCAGAGCAGGCCTCTGTGGAATAATTTTTCAAGTTAATTGCAGGGCATGCATGCAAGAAAGGTGAGTGACAGAGTCCCACCCAAACTCCTGCTCCACAGCTCCTGCTGTTAGCAGCCTCACAATGAGTCCAAGGGGTATGCATCATTTTAAAACAGTTCTCCAAGGGTGAGAATCATTAGACATGGAAAAGAGAGGACAGCGTGCTGATTTGACATAATCATCTCAGCAGCTGCCTGCTCTGCAAATGCAGTTGAATCTTGGGGATGTTGCTGGCAGTTGCCAAAATGATGACTGCAAGAGAGACAAGGAATGGAAGCACAAATTAAAACACTTGGGAATCATTCTGGCTCAGGTCTGTAATAGTCTGCATTCATTTTAGCTTGGGGGTGTTTTATTGAAACACTCTCTCCTCCCCCCTACCCTCCTGTAATTACCCAGTTGTCAATCCACAGTGTGTGAAAGCGCTTCAATTTCAAACCCAGGCTATACCAAATTGCTCAAGTCCATGCCAGTCACTCTCTGCTACAGAAAGCCTGGGAAAAGCATTGCTCTCACATTTTTTTAATCAGAAAATACGAGATGCTGTTTTCTTGGGACGTTCTGAGAAACCCATCTCTGGTGTGTCAATTCATTTTCTAGAGTCCCTGTGAATCTTGTAGTCCTGCAACTATGCCTCAAAGCTCTAAAGAGAGAAGAACAGAGAAGCAACTCTTCCTTGCTAAGACTGGAAAGGACTTTCAGGTGTGCTTTCAAGGTAGCACATTAGTGCAAGCCTCTCCATTCTCCAAATTCTCCTGTCTGCCATAGCCTGTTTTGCAGAGAAGTGCAGGAGGAGGCTCCCTACCAGCAGTACAAAATACCTTCAGTTTCTCCTCCAATCTAAATAATGTTTCTGCTTGCTGATTTCCCACTGGGATTTAAAAGGGAGTTTGTACAGCCAGGACAAATCCTGCATGCCCTTCCTCCCTGATTATTCAGAAAGGTTCTGTTCATAATATATGCATTTGTGCAGACCTGATGCCTTCATTACTCTCAGCTCCATAGCCAGGGGCACAATTTAAAGACACTGGTGTCAGCTGCAGTCTTTAGTTACCTTCAGACTAGACCTCAAGTGAGGGCATAAGAAGGGCAGAACTATGAGGGGTGAGGTTGTCTCCATCCCCACAGGCTAGATAAGGGCAGCACAAGCAATTGTTATCAGCTCCTCTGCTTCCCCATGGAATTGGTATTACCTTACCCACCAAGTGTACAGTGTCCTGGAAACACAAAGGAAAGCATTTCTATCTTATTAGCCTCACTTTTCTGCTGTCGGGAAGGAAGCCAGCTGTGTGTTAGATTTTTACTCAGCCTGCACAAAACATACCACCAATGTATTTGAAGCAGCTAATTGCTGGGTATTAGTTGCAGTGAGCTGAACTCACCTGCACCACTCTTCTAGGCCAGGAAAATCTCTGTATCCCCTTTCTAGTCTCCTGGGTTGTCTGCTTCTCCCTGCAGGTCTTCTTTAACTTGGTTAAAGTAATCTTTCTCACCATGTTGATGTTGCTTTGAGTTGTCAAGCCTAGGGAATGGGACAGAGACAGCAGGTTACACAGAGAGGCAATTTACAAAGCAGAGATAACATTTGCAAAAGCAGAGAGAAAAACCAGCCAGCCCCCCAGATCAGATAGGTGTGAGAGACGTGCAAATGCATAATGTCTATCACAGCTCTCATTGTTTTCATAGCAGTGAGATCATTAAGACGTTTCTACGTCCCTTGAGTCCATGACATGCAAGCCCAGAATATAATAAGCATGGCTGAATTAATTGCACGACACATTGATGAACAAAATGAAGTAAAGTGCTTTTATTGTACAAGGGGAAAGGAATGCTTTGCATTGAACAGCACTCACATCAATCCAAATTATGGCTCATGCTGATGATAATGAGACTCTGCCACACTCAGACTGAAAGGAGCAAAGATGCCCACATACTGCTGCGTCCAAACAGTGCTGCACTTAAACTGAGACACTGGAATTTGTCTTTCTAAAACCAACAGTTCTCCTTTGATAGATACTTTTGCACCCACACTTTGCACTCATGCACTGAGCCAGCAATATGGTTATTCAAAGTCTTTCTTTATCTTTCCTCCCATTGTAGGTGTCACATCTTCTTTCTGTCACATAGGGTAAAATCCAGTCCTTAACATTACTGGGCTCACTAGCATTGATCCCATTTGATGCCACTACTTCTGGGAATAGAGGCAGGGCTTCCCCGCAAGACACAAATGGAAATGAAGTCACAGCTGATGTGTCATGTGGCAATGGACGAGTTATAGTGCGGTCATTCATCTGGTAAAGTGGCACATTCAGACATTCCTACGGGGGAGACTTTTGCAGCCTGTTTTTCTGCTGTTGTTCTGAGCCATACAACCAGTCAGTTTTGTTCTGCTGCATCCTCTAGTCAGCATTTTCTAGGTTGTTTTATTTTGGCATTTAATGCTTTGCCTTGGGAGATCTTCAAGCATGCTGCATACTAGCAGTTCATAGCACTCAGGGTAGAGCGAAGGACAGGCTAGATAGAGCTACATTTGTGACTTGTTGAAGAATGTCTGTGTGTAGGTTATGCACAATTCTCCAATTCTCATGCATAAGCTTGCACTGCACTGCTTGGACTGGAAATGAGACTGAAAGATGACTCACTCATACATTTCCACATTCGGCTTCTGCAATGAACTTCCGACTCCTGGCTCCTTCCTTAGAGGCCTCATCTTTTCTGCAGGAATACATGACGACAAGAAAGCAACTGACCCAGTGAAATATTGCAGTCTTACACTGCAGGTAAAGCATACACTGGGAAAGGAAGGGAAGGTTTGAGAGGGGTCATCCCGACTTCTTCCCTCTTAGTTCATTTGCCACACCTGGGGAGAAGACTGCTCATTATGAACTGGACAGGAAATGGTAACTTACAGCTGCACTGTGTCGGGTTGGGGTGATGATGTATCAGCTTCGCTAGCTCTGAAATGGAAGGAGCTTTCTTCCAGAATGAGATGGAGAACCTGAGATTTCTCTAAGGTTTTTAGGCAGAGTTCAGTCATTGAGTTCTAGGGGAAAATCTAGGGCCAAAGGAAGCGGTATCTTCCACCCATTCCAGCTGCATGGCTAGAGAGCAGTGCTCCACTCCAAAGACTAACCTTAACTTGCCTGGGTTATCGTGTGACACAGCTGAGCACAGCCACCACCCCACAGCTGCTTTTTATTGGTGTTTATCCAGAATCTCTTTGTCACTCCTCACCTTTTTGTCACAGTACTGATTGATGTGTGCACAAAAGCCTTCTCTTTCTCCCTCCTACACACGCATTAGCCTTCCTGGGCACTGACTATGGTACAGGTATAACGTCAAACCTCATGTGTGTAAGCAGCGGAGTGTCTGAAGCCAAAAAAACTCACCCAGACACACTTTTAACCAAGTGAGGGCTTTCCGGTTTGGAAGCAAGCGCTGTACCATACACAGCAGGTAGCCAGAGCATCCTGCCTATCTCCGTGCCTGGAACACGGCCGTCTGACGAGACACACGGCACACTCCAGACCCACCGCGCTCCATCCGATGGGGCACACACACGCTCCAGGGGGGCGGGCCTCCGCTTCCCTCCTGCCCCACCGCGCAGGGAGCTGGTGAGGCGGTGTCCCGGCTCCCCCCGCCCCGCCGCCCTCCCCTGGGCGGCTCGGGGCAGGCCGCAGCCCTTCGTGAGCCGGCCCCGCCGCCGCCAGAGTCACGGGGCGGGCGGGCCGCTGCCATGGAGCTGCCTGCTGTCAACCTCAAGGTAGGGGCCGCGGGGCCGAGCCGCTCCCGGGCTTCCCCGGCGGGAAGGGCCCTCTCCGGCTGCTCCCGTGGCCGGCCGCCGGTTCGGGGCTCCGCTGGGAGCGGGGGGTCCCGCCGGTGACTGTAGAGGAGGCACCGAGCTTCCTCGGGGGGCGGCCTGCTCGGCCCTCCCGTGTACGGGACCTGTGTGAGGGCCTGGTCCGGAGACGTGCAGGCCCAAGGCTGGGGTTTCCAACCTGGTGCTACCAAAGCACTTGGGCATTCGGAGCGGCGGCACTGCACAGATCCTGAGGAGGCAAAGTACCTTAGAAAGGTGGTCCCGCTTATTTTGGGGTTATCGTGTGATAATTGAAATTAGTTCTTTGTTGGGAGGGGATTCAGCTGGGGGCAATGTGAAAGTTTTGGTGAATATCTGGTAACCACAGAAGGGGGAAATAAGGGACTTAACAACACTTAATGTAAGGGACTCATGTTACACGTTTCACTCTGGGAAGAAGCATGTCCTTGCAGACAAGCTAGCATCACTTTTTTTGCTTTTGATGTTGGTGTTTGATGTTGAAGCCTTCCCTGATACCAGAAATTTTCCTCTATTTTCTTGTTATCTTCCCTGTTTTCAGAGCCCTGAGATCTATTGGGGTAGGTGCCTTTTCCCAGCTTCAATCCTTTGTGTATCTTGGTTGGTACAGCATGTTCCAGGTGCTTTCTTTGGTTAAAACCCAGAGAATTAATCCCACTGATCGCATCAGGTTTTTCTGCCATTGATTCATAAAGCTGCAAGTTGTGGCCTTGGAGCAGGCTGCCTACAGGTTGGGTGGGAGGACAGCATTATCTCAGCTGCCGTTATGAATTCAGCTTTGTAGAGGAAGGTTTTCATGGGGCTGTGCTAAATAAAAGCTTGGCATTCATAAAACGATGCTTCCTCCTCTTACCGGTTCACCAAGAAAAGCAACTTCCCTTGTTAGAGGCAGGTAACCAAATGAATTTTTCAAGGCCATTACATTTACCATCTGGGAACGAACTCATGCTTTGCTCTGACAAGTTGGGACTATTTGGTGGTTCCCAGGGCATTAGGAAGATTGAAAGATCTTTCCTTCTACTTACTTTTTAAACTCGGTTTGATTCCCCCCCTCCCCATGCTGCAACAGTGAAAAATAAGGACATTTGATTAATAAGTTTGCTAGCATGAAATACATGTTCTACCATGGGAGGTGGAGGTAGGGGGGCTGAAAAACACAGACTCGTTGAATGAATGAGTCACTGTGAGAGCCTTTCTTCTCTGGCTTCAGACAATTCCCAAGTCTCTTACTAGGTAAGAGTGAGCTTGTCTTGGGCACACTGTTTTCAGCATTGAGAAGTTCCTTGTTGTAAAGTCTGATGGTACTGCTCTCTGGCTGAAGAGGTGGAGGACAAGGAGTTAATAACTGTACCTTCATCTCTGTACTGTTCCTGAGTTAGGGTCTGGTTCCTTGAAACATATTACAAAGGTGGGAAAGACTCTTCCTCAGAAAGGGACTGGAAATAACACACACCACTGGCATTTGTTGGCATGATTTGCTTACAGCTTCTGTGAGATAAAAAAAAAGATGAGCCTCGTGATAGAAGCAGCTCCAAGAAAACTGCATGACTGAGCTGTGCTTGTGCCAGGAGGTAGCAATGGCTTAGCCTTGAGGTGTCTCTTTGAGCTACTTGCAGAGCTATAAAATTCATGTAGCAGGTTTTGCCCTAGAGTGGATGAGGAACATACTCATGAAACAGCTCTTACTGGCTCAGCTCTAATAGTAACGATCAGCATAGCCATGTTTTTGCAGTGAATGCTTGACACTTAGGATTATTACAGTAACTATGCAGAGCCTTAAAATACAAAGTTTGAGTTTGGTCAAGCCTGGACAATGCTCTACAATCCATGTGCCTGGAAACATGGAGTTTGTGCTTGGGCATTTTGAAATCCTGGATCACAGAATTGTTCATACTAAAAGAGACCTCTGTATGTCATCTAATCCAACCTCCTGCTCAAAGCAAAGCTAACTTCAAAGTTAGATCAAATAGTTCAACTCAAAATTCAGCTGGCTTTTAAAAAATCCCTAAGGATAGAACCATGACAAGGCTGTTGGATAGCCTGTTCCACTGCCCAACTACTCATTGCCACCACTCTGTTTCAGTAGTGAATATGCTCACAGGTGGCCACTCAGATCTATGTTTTGGTTAGCGTATCCTCAGGTGAATATGTCACACAGTAGATGTGTGCAAAAAGAAGAGTAAATAAAACTTCAAAAGTTGGATACTACAAGAAAATAATTGTAATTTGGAACCATGTAATTTTGAACTTAGTTAAAATTCAACCTTGTGCTGAAGCATGTTTAAAGGAGTTCCTGTTCCAAAGACTTTCCCATCTAATGAGACCCAGGCAGACCTAGGCTATTTTTATGCTTGGCAATTAGTCCCATCCCATCACATGCTGAGATTTGCAGGGAATTCCCCTGAGCTCTCCCCAGTTTCCAATGGGATGCTTTTAATCACATGATCATCCTTCTGCCCGGAAGAGATGGAGACAGAGTTCCCACCTTTCTTATTTTCTGCTCTCAGCACTAGTTCCAAGTCTTAGGAGTTACCTTCCCAAAAGAAGCAATGTATGTTGTTCTGCAGTGTGTGTTTTTCTTAGGCACAGTTTTAAGGCCTTGAACAGATGGAAAATATTTAGTTTCTTCTGCTCCCCCATCAGGAGACTGCCTGCAAACTATCTAATTCACATAGCAACTGTAGCTTTAAAGCATGTTTTTCATTAACACTCCATTTTCTATGTTAGAGCAGAAACCAAACCCACTAGCTGATTCCATAGTGCCCTGAAGAACTGTCAGGTAAATGGGGCTAATAACCAGGATGGGAATGCCTTGGGTTTATTTCAGTAGTCCTTCATACTCTCAGTTAATGCTGGTGACTAAGCATGCTTCATAATTTAATAACTGCAATATTGATCTAGACAGCTTTAAAATAAAAAGCCATCCTGCCTCATTATGTTAACTGGTGAGCCTGGAGGGGGCTTGCAGCTATGTAACATGCAATTAAATACCACCTCATTAAGAATTTCCCTGATGTTGTGATAGTCTCTTGAGTAAATGCTATTTGCACGTCTCCATTCTTATCCCAGAACATCTTGTATTTCACTGATTAGCACTTGCTGCCTGGTCTCCATGGTACAGTTTGGGAGAAGGGAAAGCAGGGGGTGGTGATGAAGTATTTTGTAGGCTTTCATGAACACAAGAAATGATTAATAAAAATCTGTTTCAGCAGTGTCTGATGTTGTGACAAAGTCTGGGCTACTCTGGGTGAATGCTCAGGGTGTTGCAGTGAAGCAAGAGCTGTCTTACCCAAACCCATCTGCACAGAGCACCATGAACCACAGCAGATGTGACACTGCTGTTGATTTCCCAGCTGTGCTTCACTCATGTCACAGCTTTGTGGGTGATTAACTCTCTTCTTGAGCAACTAGTTGTGCGTTAAGTTAAAGCCTGGATAGACGTTTTTAGTCAATGAATGGAGCAGGATGTCAGTAGATCTTAAATTTAAACTTCTTTTTCTTTAGTGTCTCAGTGCTCCCATCTCCCTGCAGCTTTCCTGTGTTTACTGAATAATTGAGCCTTTCGCTACTTATTTCCCAAATTAGTTTATGTTTCTCGTTTTTGTGGGAGTATGTGGGGGTCTGAGGTCAATATAAGTGCCAGTTGGAGCCCTTCTCACAGCTAGAAAAAATGGAAGAATGCCTAATTCCCACAGATCCTCTGATGTATCTGGGCTTCGGCCTTTCTTTTATGAGGCTGTCTTCCATACTCTGATTTTAACAAATGCTTAGAGAGTCAGTGTGAGTAATCTCCCTTTGAGATTGGCCAACAAGAGTGAGCACATGGATACAGGTATGGAAAAAGACTGAAGTGGTATATTTTTGTTCCCATTTGCTGTCATAATAAACATGTAGAGTATGTCTCCTTGGTTACAGAAATGTCAAGTGCTGGTGAAGAGATTCCTTGTCACTTGTTACAATAAGATGCTTTCTCCTTGTATTTGTCCCCTTGAGCACAAGGATAAGGATCATAAAGGACATTTGCAAAGTACAGAATCTGTTACAGTGTCATCTTACTGGTACTTAGGGCACTGCTCGCATTTGAGCCTTGGTGGCTTTGCTGAAGTGAGAAAAGCTGTGTATTATAGCAGGATTTTATTCTCAGATTCCTACAAGTTGCCTTCAGGTCTGTTAATACTGCAGTGAGGTTGAGCTGCTCTGAAGAGACTGGAAGGAGGTAAAAGGAGGATTTACTGAGGACTGGAGTGAAATTGCTTGGAGCTGCAGGCATAACTAACCATGGCCTTGTTGGTGATGGGATGCCAGATTGGTCATGTATAAACTGTGCTAGCATAGTGTGAAACAGATTGCCTAGCTTTCTGTACAAAGTCTTCTGGAGTTCCAAAATCAATAACCCATTTAGAAAAGACTAAGTGAGCCCTGAATCAACTGTCAAAAGAGATGACAACCAGAAGGAATTACTACAGTGTAGCACCACAGGAAACATTCAGCAACACAGAGAAAAATGGGTTTGTGTTTTCAATGTCCCAGTTGCTCTGCCAGCTTTCTGCACTGGTTCATGGGTCCAGAGTTTTCTACCTGTCCCTTGGAAAAAAGATAGTGTCATTTCATCTCAGAGTTCTCCCAACTTGCTGACCTGTTGTCTTCTCTGTTTTTGTTTTTCCATAGGCCATCATTCTGGTACACTGGCTGCTCACAGTGTGGTGAGTGATTGGTAACTGGGTGAGAACAGAGCATTCTTTTGAACTGGGAATGGGATATTCTTGGGGAACTGGCACTCCCTGTTTGTGCCTGCCTGTGTGCAAGAAGATCTTAAATCAGAGTGAGGTGTTTGTATGGGAAAAGGGGTGAATCCACACAAACAGTTGCAGGCTTATTGTGAATGTGGGCTGGGGTTTTTTTGTCTTGTTTGGCAGGGGATGCATGAACCACATATTTCCAGCCTCCTACGCCTGGGGAAATTTCAGTGTCCTTGCAGTGGGGATCTGGGCCATTGTGCAGCGAGATTCCCTTGATGCCATCTTGATGGTGAGTGTGAGGGTATGTGCCTCCACCAGGCTGCTCAGGGAGAGGGTGGAGACAGCTTTTTTGAGTCCGTGATGATTTCAGTTGTGAGCAAGCCAAATTTCCTGTTTGGTTTTTTTTTTAAGAGAGCATATAAATCTATGAGCACTGCAAACCATAGTGAGAAGCATTCACTATCACTTATTTTGCTTCTCAGAGGTAAGGCATACTTACTTTTTTACCTGTTGTTGTGACTTGTAAAGCCAGAGGAGGACTCAAAGTGTTTAATATGCTTGAGTTAGAGGGCTTCATAAAACCCTTCTCTGAAAGTTAAAGAGATTGTCAAGCAAAACTAAACAATCCTGAAACATATCATGAGAAGGTGTCTGACAGATGTGAAGACAATGCATGAAATACAAGATCATTCATGTAGGATTATCTGTCTACCTGGGGCAGTGTCAAGGGTTAGTAACGTGTGATACTGGGCTGAAGGCATGATTGTGTGAACACAGATCTTGCAGGAACACAGATGCTGTAACTGCTTCTCCATGTGGTTAATCCCCTATTCAGTTCATGTCCCATTCTCTCTTTGTTTCCAGTTCCTGACTGGCCTGCTGCTCACAGTCCTCACAGACATCATTCACGTCTCTGTCTTCTACCCTCCAAACAGCTATCTCACTGATGCGAAGCGATTCAGTATAGGCATGGCCATCTTCAGCCTCCTCCTCAAACCTCTGTCCTGCTACCTGGTGTATCGAATGTATCGGGAGCGTGGAGGAGAGTACACCTTTAACTTAGGTAGGATGCTTCCTCTGCCTCCATGTCGGTGTAGGCCACCTCCACTGGTGTTAGGACTGACTGCCTTGCACTTTGGACCCTTCAGCCTGAGCTCTGTGCAGCTGGATTCTGCCTCCTTTCCAAGGAGGGGGCAGTGCATGCTCTTTCTCCCTCTCATATGTCTGTTCTCCCATTTTGTGGTCCTGGTGTGTCTTAGGCCTTAAATTTACATTCTTCCTCTCTTCCCTTGCAGATATGGAGTCCTCATCTGACATCCATTTTGCCCACAATGGTATTGTGAGAGAGTAAGAGAGACTACAGTCTCTCTTATTCAGTGTAACTGAGAGGCTTGTCCTCTCTTCCTCCTCCTGCATTTGTGCATGCCTGTTGGAAGATTTTCAGTGTCCTTCTCTCTTTGCCAACCCTTTATTTTCCTTCTGGGGGAAAGTAGAGGCAGCATTTCCTTTAGCTGGATTATGCATGAGGGGGAAAGCAAGATGGATTTCTAACTCCATGCTTTCTCTGGGCCTCACATGTCCTAGTTGTGTTGATTGCTTTGGGCCTCCATTTCCTCACCTGGAAAATGGGACTGATGCTCATCTCATGGGACTTTGCCTGAAGGCACTCGTTTTTCTCCTGGTTGTACTTGCTAATGATAGTGTGGCAGTCTTGCCAGAGAGAAGGGGCCGTGGCTGGATGTTCTGAGTCTCCATCAGCTTTGCCAAGCATGCCTGGTGCTAATTCATGCTGGGGCAGCTGCCAGGGATTATTTGCTGTGTGGGAGTTCACCTTGGCAAAACCAGCAGCCTGGTGCAATTATCTTTTTGCCTCCCTAAGAAAGCCATGCAGGAAAAGGGGTAGTATAACTGCATGACAGTGTTTGAAAGCTGTCATTTGTGCTGCTTTGGGGCTAGCAAACATAATGCTTTCTGTGAAAAGAGGAGAAGAGGAGAGGCCATGGAAGGAAACCATGGCTTGAGGCACTGTGTGCTATGTGCATCTCCCTACAAACCCAATGTGGATGTTTTCTCCATCATCTATTTGTGCAAATGCCTGACAGATCTGTCTGAACTGGGTCACAAGGCCTGTTAGTCAACTACATTGCCTTGCTCTGGGCCATGTTTGTGCCAGTTTTTATTAGCTGCTCACTGTGCTTGTAACTGGGGTTTGACATTTGTATCCCATGGAAAGTGTAGGTATCATTGAGGAGTTCATCCCTTTGCGTGGAATCTGGGAGCACTCCTTTTCAACCACACTATCCCAACACAGGCATGATACTGTCTGAAAGTCTCCTTTCAGGCACAGGTTGGAATTCTGACACATTGTAGTTTCATACCCTCGCCTGAACTGCTTTTCTCACAAGATTTTCCATACAAACTCTGGGCCGTTGTTTTGTGTTGAATGTGGTTGACAAATTTCCTCTCATTTTCCTGCTATCTGGCATTCTGCTTTTGAATCTAACAATGTTGCATTTTTCCTAGTCTTCTATGTCTTTTGCTTTGCACACAAATCTGGTTTTGTTGCTTGGTGGTACCCTTGCAGCTTCAGGCAAGCCTCTCATATAGTTTGGTGCCCACCTTTGATTCACATTGCTTTCTGGCCATGGCAGATGCCTGGCCTATAAATGAAGAGCTGTCCATGCACATTCTCTGTCTGTCATCTTTCCCTGCTTGTCTGATGGACAATAACATGATTTTGTACCAGTCTTACACCATAGACACATGTTCATAGTGGAATTGGGAGCACTGCTGGATTCAAATTTAGGGCCATGGTGTTGCACACTTGAGGCATAAAGTGGTTCATGGATGATTCATGTTCTTAAATCTGTGCTGACAGCTAGCCATGGTTCCTGCTGCTTCTGGTTTTTCTGTTCATTTCCCCACTAGATCTCTTAAAACTTGATCTTGCTGAAAGATACTATTACAGGAGCCTTTTGTGCTGCTATGTGGTATTGCAAGTCTTGCTTTCCACACAGCCATGTGGCTACTAAGAGAGCAGTTCTCAGGGAATGAAGAAGCATGTTCAAATGCATCTCGGCTATTTTGCTTTTGTTGGAAGGATGGGTTTTCTCATATCCTGACTGTGCAGTGAGGATCACGGAACACAGGTGCCAGGGAGATCACAGAGCAGCTCATGACATGTGCTCCTAAGCTGTTGGTTTATTCTAGAGGATTCTGTTCTTGTGCTTTTGTGTTTTTTCCTAAGCTTATTCTCTTCCATCTCCACTCAGGTGTCACCTGTGCAGGCCAGGATCGCAGCACCTATGAACCAATTGATCAGCAGGATGGCCCTCCACAGTGGCCTGAATCGAGCAAGATAGCACAGCATCCATACTAAGCCCTGCTCCACAACTGAGAACAGATGCCTCCTCACCCAGTCTAGCCTTCTGCTCTTCCCATGTTTGTTCTGAAGGAGCAAGACTTGCTACTGAGCAAACAGCAGAGGATCTGAGTTTTCATTTCTTTTGACTCTCTGAAGGTTAGGCAGATGAGTTGCTGCAGTAAGTCCAGAAGATCTCAGAGGTGTCATGTTAAACACTGTGACTCTTTGTAATCCCACCACTCTCCTCCTCCCTTTCCCTAAATCCCGCCTCTGTCTGTATGAGTGGATGCACCTTCTGCAGCCTTCCAAGTCTTGTATTGTGCATCCTCTCTATTGTAAGTAATGGAACCACTCAAAATATTCTTGGACAAGCTATCTTTAAAAGGCTTATATTTTTAAGAGCCTTAAAACAATACCGTTTAGCTTGCTTTTATGCAGATAGTTCCCAGGAAACATCTGGGAGTTCCTGAGGGCTGTTTTTGACAGCATTAAGATTTATGACCATAACTCCCTATGCTAGCTGTGGTGGTTTGTAAAAAGCTGGGGTTGGTATAAAATTGCTGGGCCAGGGCCCAGCGTCTAATCGTGGGTTTTATTCACTGATGCTTTTATGCAATTTGAATGTTCTTCAGGATACTTAAAATGGCTGTTGAATGTAGGTTATAGATACTCTGTGCCTTGAAATGTCCTTTTGCCTTCAGCTGCCTATCTTAACAGAACTTGAAATGTTACATTTTTCTAAGAAAACCATAAAATGAACACAGTTTTTCTGTGTTATGGAAAAAAAAATTACACTGCTCACTTCTGTCTCATTTGAAAATGTAGGTATTCCTGAGGGTTTGGAAGAGTCCTTATGAGGAAAGCCTGTGGGGCTTCAGTGGCTTTTAGGCTAAGCTTTACTTGGATAAGCAGAGGGTACTGCTTGCAAGTATGTGGGTGGGAAGGTGGGCTAGTAAAATGAAGATCGGGGAAGGAAAAGATGGGTTGACTTACACTGCAGTGGTGAGCTTCATTGGGTGTGACAAACTGTAAGTATTCTACTCTTGTGCACAAAAGTGTGATAGCTTGATTTACTGTCCCCAGGTGAGTGTTGTGCATTCATTCTGCAGGCTACCATGCAACACCACATGGCAAAAGGAATTAGTCTGCTCTTGTGATCAGATGGGAAAGAAAGAATAGGGAGGCGGACCTTTATGTTCATGTGGTTTTCAGCTCTTCAGAACTGCACAGTGATGGCACAGATCCCTGAACAACACGCCAAACCACTTGGTTTCTTTGTTCCCTAGACCCACGAAGGCCAGACTGAAAACAACTGCTTTAAATGCAGTGGGTTTTGGTTATTTGTGTAGAGCATTGCAGCTAGTGAGGCCTTCCCAGCCATTCTCCAGTGCAAAATGCCCATCTAGCTGACCTACTGTGTGCTTTTCTGTGGAGAACCTGGCACATCTGAGAGCTCAGGGAAGCAGAGCAAGGCAGGAGTTACGTTAGACTCAAAGATACCTCTTTTGAGTAAAGTAAATCAGAAAGGTGATGATAAAAATGAAGCCTGACTTACGTGAAGGAGGGATTTTGTTTCAGCAGCGCTTACACCAAACACGCTCTTGGATCAATACCCGCTTTAGCCGGGCCTGTGGGGGGTTCACGGAGCAGCCTGGCTTCACCGCGGGGCTCCTCACCCCGACGGCCAGCAGGCGCCATGCCCTGCTCAGGGCATTTTCCTTCGGTTTCTTAAATCCTCAGCTCCTGCCGTGCCCGTGTTCACGGCAGTGAGCGGGCAGCTCCCCACATGGACCACGACCTGCCCGGGGCAGGCTCGGCCCCTCAGCGGGCCCTTGGCCTTAGCAGGCCGCGCTCTCCTGAGGCGCTGCCCCCGGTAGTGGTGGTGGTTGGAGGGGGGGGTGTTTGTGTGTAACCGGTCCCGCCTCGCCTGTGCCGCCCTCAGGACGCAGCTTTAATGAGCCGTGGTCGGGAGCGGCTTCCCCGGCGCCATCTGCAGCCCCGGTGACCGGCGGCGTTGCTAATCGCGGCCGATAAGCTGCTTGCAGCGACCCAGCTGGAGCGAGCTCGCTGCCGGCCTTTGGGCATTGAAGGGGGGACAAAGGTGCGGGTACAAGGAGGTGGGTGTCCTGTCCCCGAGGCTCTGGCGAGGCCCAGCGGCATGGCCGGCGATCGGAGTGGGTAAGTGGCCGTGAGGAAAGGTGTGAGTGTGCCTATGGAGGGCTGGGAGCCATTGGCAATGCTGAGCAGCGCCTGGGGTGTTCACCTCAAAGGGGTCTGTGGGTGATGGACCTCCCGCTCCCAGCACAGCTCCCACCACCGCATCCCTCTTACGTGTGCTTGAGTGGCAATGGGAGGCTCATGTGATGGTTTGGTGTGTAAGACTGAGCAGTGGGGGGAAAAGCCTTGTTTCTAAGGCATCTGAAAGGTGTTCTTGTGCCAATCACCAGTCCCAACTTCCAATGTGAAATGGATCTGTAGGGGTGGGGAGAATGAGCATCATCTGTGCAGTGCTTATGTATGTGTTTATTATGGGTCTGTCGTTGTTACTCTAATGCTAAAACAGCATCCGCCTGAAAAAGCTTGACTTACTCTTCATGAGCTGTGCTATTCCTTTTGCCTATAACAACAGAAGTCCCTTGATCAGCTTAATTTTTGTTTGCTTAATTGGATATGTTTCAGGTTTTACTGTGTTGCTGCAAAGTGTATATAGCAAGCATGTGTTAAAATGTTTCAGCTGGAAACATCAAAGCTCATATGAAATCCATTGGTCATGGATGCTGCAAATCTGTGGCTTGCTTGAGTATCTCTTTTTGCCTTAGAAGTTTTAAGAAAGCGCTTCATAAGATCTTGTTTCCTTTTGAGTAAGACAAATTACTGCTTAAAAGGGGTTGTACTAAAGTCCTGAATGGCAATTTTGGGAAGGCAGACAAAGGTGGTTTTTAAAGGATGTTGTCTCTTCCTGATCTCAATGAGACTGAAATGAGGAATGAGTGAGGTGAAGATCACCAGCTAAAATAACCATGGTGATGTGTTGAGAACCTGGTACCTGCCTGAACAAACTGCCATGGAGAACTAAAAACAGTGGCATGAATTATCAAGAACATACATTATGTTTAGGTTCTTGAGTATAAAGTAGTCCAGTGCCAGGTTCCAGGTGTTTGTGGAGCAAAACAGTACTCATAAACATGATGGTTTCATGTCTTTTTGTAGTTCAAATCCTTTACAATACCCTTTTTGTGATACATTGCTAGTTGGCTGGATATTTCTGGGAAGCAAGGAATGCTTCTAGGAAACACCAGTCTGCTGTATTTTGTGGTTATACTTCATGCAGTGATAGGCACCCTAAAGAAGGCAGCTGTGCTTTGTCTGCTCACTCTGTAGTTGCCAACTTCTACTTGTCTGGAAAAAATAATGGGATCTTTCCATTCATGGTACACTCGGTGATGTATGAAAGGCAGTAATGGCAGTTCCCAAGGATAATTGCAACACTGCATGACTATCTCCTGTTGCTTTAGTAATTGAATTTACTCCCCAGTTTGTGGTGATTACTGAAAGAGTTTGCATATAAGGACAAGTGGGCTGTTTGCAATGGATGACTGAGGCTTAGATGCTTTCTTAGAAGAGAATTAGATAAACATAGTTTGGAGACAGAGTGCATTTTGACAGGAGCCTCTCTGGTATTTGAGTGTGTTTGAAAAAGACAATGGGCATTGATTTCATAGGCTGTGCAGTCTTTCTCTTCAGATTGACTAGGGCTTTTTGAAGATGATAGAGGTGTGTGTGTGTTTCACAATACCATTTTCATCCTTTTAAAAGGGAATGGAAAAGAATGGTGCTTCAAATGACAGAGTGATTGACAACTTGCTTTTAAAATTTGAGGGAATGAAAGCATAGTCCCCTTAAATTGCACTTACCTGTTAGCAGCAAGTTAAGAATCTGTGCTCAGCTTGAGTGTTATATGTATAATCATCTGTCTTGGTGGCTAGATTGCAAATTAGGTCTTCCATCTATGTTGTTCCATCTCCTTCCAGGTTAGGAGACAACACAGATTCTCTGGACGTGTGGACAGAAGAAACTGTCCTGTGTTTGAAGCTTTGCAGGGCTGTAGCATGATACATGAACAAATTTACACTTGTTAAGCAGTTAAATGGAACCTTAAGTTGAGGCACTACCTTTCCTATCAGCCCTGGAGAAAATACGATTATGGAAGAGATGTGAGCAGGATTTCCAGTCAATGAAGAGGGAAAGCATTGTACTCCAGCTGGAACCACGTTGCTCTGACTTAGAATCATAGAATAGTTAGGGTTGGAAAAGACCCTAAGATCATCTAGTTCCAACCCCCTGCCATGGGGAACTTCTGTAAAAACATTTTCTTTTATACGTGTTCTTATTCGATGTTACACAGATCTGGTTAAAGTATTCTGGAAAAGCAGCTACAGTCTGCCTTGTGTTGGTAGCAAGATAATTCAGCTTTACTAGCAACAAGTTCTTTCTGAGGCTGCAGGCGCATGTGTAATGCTAGAAGTCTTTGTTTTCCAGGTTGTCTGTTGCAAACTGTGTCTGTTCCCTTCAGTCATTCCTGCTCTGCTAGACATGATTGTCAGCTGAGAAACAGGAAGACAGTAGGGTCCATAATACTTTCAGGATTAAGGCTGGTGGATTGGAGACAAGAAATTAATAAGGAAAGTACCCAAAGCCTTTGGCAAACTGGCAAACTAGGCAAGATGTGATGAGAAATATGCATGCTTCCTTGTATGTATTTCTTCTTATTTTTCTTCAGAGCAAAGCAACATTCAGAAGAATGTGGCTGTTGATCTGTGTATGGGCACTACAGATTGAATAGACATTTCTCATCACTGGCTTGATGCTGCTGCATTCAGTGTAACCCCCCAGCCAGACAGCAGAACTGTGTACTGCACCTCTGTCAGCTGGGAAGAGAGATCTCAGTCTGAGACAGACTAATCCCTCCTGCCCTTCCTGGCCACTGCAGGACACTCCAGCCAGTTCTCCATTTCCTGCTTCTTGAAGCAGAATAATCCCTGCCCTAGGCTGCAGCAGCACAGCTCTAAGTGTGTGGCTCATAGGATTCCCCATCTTGCTTTGTCATTGCTCCCAGCTGTGAATCTTCCTCAGAGACAGTCACACCTTGAGGCTTATAGTTTAGAAGGGAGAAGGACTGGGAGTATTGACTTACCTCAACAACACCATCAGAAAGCAAAGGCAGCTGGCAGCTGCTCCATACACACTGCTCACCATCACTGCTTAGAAGTAGGAACAAGAATAGTGACTACCCAGTGGAAAAACAACAACATCAGCCTCCTGCTGCTTCTTGTATGGATCCTCTGGACCCTTTACTGGTCAGTGCACATTTATCATCTCGTATTGTAGATCCCCTTCTTAGGCAGGAATTATTGGCGTGTCCTGCCTCAAGGAGCTCAAGTGAAAGTGTGAATGCTTGTTCTAGTTCAGCCCTGACCTTGGGGGAGCTTGAGCTATCCAGTGTGGAGTCTCTTCAGACTCTTTTGCAGTCCTCACGGATTTCTGCTAGCTTG